ACCTTATTCTCTTCTAGTAGATTCGATAACCTCATTTAGCAGATCTACTTTCGGAAGTGTTGGCAACCCTGATCCCATCGTACTTATTGAAATTTTCCTGTCATTATAAAATGTATATCCAGCTATGTGAAATATCTGTTGGGTATTTCATTTTAGTCTCAGTTAAAGCTGAAATTTCGATTTTTTCTGTTATTTATTCTATAAGACATAAGTAATACAACATATTTAAAGGAATTATCTTGAAGTTTGTATTTTCAACAGACTGATCAAAGAATCTTAGGTTTTCGACTAATTATGGCACAATATTTTTTTCCCAGAACAGATGCGCTATAGACGTTATCAACTGGGTTCCCAGAGTTTTGGCCAGGTTATCGAATATCGATACAATTTCGTAACATACTGCGTTTTTATTCACATCAAATTTTACCAAAGATAACTAACTCATCGGTGAAGTCAACGATTAGAATAAAAACGAGAGGATAATTAATGATTAGTTATTATCGACTTTTCTTGATTTTAAACTCATATGACAGGCAGTGTGCTACTCACCTCTACAGTAGTAATAGTAATCATAGGTACCATAACTTACGGCCAGTTCCACAATCTGTGGTAACCAGTTCTGATCAGTCAACTAGGAGTCAGGAGTTAACAATGACTTTGCAAAAGAACACGTTTCACACGAAACAAACAATCGTTAGTTAGAACGGTTGAAATGGAAATATTTCAAACAGGCTGTGGCAAATATAAATGCCCAATTGATCAATAATAACAGATATTGAGGAGACAGTTAAAAAAATATTATTGGCGATGAAGAATTAAGTATCTAGAACGCAAAATAATTATGATGTTTGTGATGTCATTATAGGAATATGGTGATGACCAGTACTGAGAGCAGTGAGATCTCATAGTCAACATAGTCACAAATAAATTAAAATATACGATGTCCAATGTGGTGATTGATCCCGTTCAGAAGATTTTCAATGGTCCTGGCTTATGGTAACGGTCATGGTATTCCTGGGAATAGCTAGCTTTTGGCTTAATACGTCTTCTACGTCTACTTGCTTTCTCGTTCCCATATTATACGCACTTATTCTGTTTTCTTCTCTGTCTATATTTCCACTCAAATCCATAATGATTTAATCTGTCTAAGTAGACTGCGACCTCAACGCAGCGCCTTAGACCTCTCGGCCTTCCTGACTTCCCAGATCTACCCACATCTATGCATGACTCTTCTTCCCTTGGATTAACGTCATTGATACTAGGCGAATCGCTACCTGGGCCGGTATTCTGGGTCTCAAAAACGCTCACCGCTTTCTAGTCGCTCGGCACTTTAAATGCAAATTTACATTGAAAGTGCCGAGCGACTGAAAAGCGGTGAGCGTTTTCGAGAACGAGAATACCGGCCCTGGTCCTGTTTCCTGTTGATTGCAATGCTGCCAACCAGCTTTCCTGCGCTTTCGTGGATGGTCGCAGCACTCGTTGCACTTCTCTCCATAGAAATTTGCAGAGCGGCCATTTTAAGGATAACTTTAACCTTCTGGATCAGCATTAGTCCTAATCGACCAATCTTTTTTTCCTGGTCTTTCTTTCTTCGCTTGCCGGATTTTTCTTTTCTAGATTTCGTTGATCTATCCCCGGCTCCCCTAATGTCAAAAAAATGATTCGAGGTCTAGGTTACTCCCTTTCAGTTAATCACTTCCCAGATGGTCGTGACTACTTTCTTCGTCCGCATCCAATCGAAGGCTTTTTACAGAAACTCTTTCTAGCTGACCAATTCTGAAAAAGTACTGGTCTTGATCTGGGCATGGTCGGCGTTGCAAGTTCTCAATCGAAGGTTGACAGTCATCAAAAGGAGAGCCAGATCTCAGTTGTACACTACAGACCCGTTTAAAATGCCCTCTTCTTCCGCAGCGGTAACATTCAGAGCTCTTGATCAAGTTATCCATTGAAGGCTGAGAGTCATTAAAAAGAAAGCGAGACATCAACCGTATTCTACAATAACGCTTAAAATGTCCGCTTCTCCCTCAGCGGTCATTTGATGCTTCCTTTCAAGTTTCCTAGTTTGATTCTGATGTAACAAAATCTATAGCAAATTCATAATCTCGGTTTAAGTTCATCTTCCGTGGGAAAAGTTTTATTTTTATAGAAAGTTAAAATGTGACCATTAGGTTCCCAAACACATGGAGTTCTACGAACGACCTAATCTGTTCGAGGATAAAAATCACTTGAAAGCCAAAAAGGTATCGAATTTTATAGCTTCAAGATTATTTTGCTGTAACCCGAAATTGACAAATACATATATGTTTTCCTAGATTAACACTAAACATTAAACTAATCTGTAGGTTGCACCAGATCCCATGTGGTTGTAATAATTTATTCAAAGTCAAGGAAAATCTTCTGTAATACCCACGTTTTATGACAAACCCAGATGTCAAGTAACTGAGACCATTGCTGGAAATAATTATATTCGAAGCATGTGTGTTTGGAGCGAAACAGTCATTACATGAGCTAGATTTTCAAGATACAATAACAAATTGCATAACAATAAAATTATCAAGGGTTATTACTTTCGTGGAATGTTAACTGAAAGATAGTCAAACACTTAGTTATAATTAAGATATAAGTAGGTTAAGATAGGAGTGATTATTCAATTATTTTATGAATACATTAATAGAGGATAGTTTAATTCATTTCACACCCTTGATAATTAGATTAGAAATTAGGTAACTTTTATTTTATTTACTTGACTAGGTTAGAATTTAGGAAATAAGAATAGAAAGCATAATTAGAAAAGGGAAAGGTTTTCAATTGAAAAAGAAAACATTACATGTTCAATTAATAATTTGACCACATGTAACTAGCGAACTCTGTTGGTGAGCCATCAAACTGTATTACAGGATGAAGCAGTTTGAATAAGGAAGGTTGAATAAACTTGAGAACCAATGGAAAAACAACAAGAAACCGGAGGGTACTTTCAGCGAATCGCTGAAAGCTAGGAGGGTTGGAAATCTTCGATTTTGTCGAATCTCAAATCCGGGTACTAAGGGGTAGCCAATGGGCGTCCAAAGTGGTACCTAGAGGGTGGTTCCTCTTGCTTATCTAAGCAGATGTGGAGGCCAGTTAACTTCAGTTATCGCCAATTTGTCACTAGTTATTACTACTATTTTTCGCCAGAAATTTAATTCGCAAAATCTTAACGAGTTCTCGATCCGTTTCATCTGCCAACCGGTGTTTTAGTAAAAGCTCTCCGAAGAGGTGATTTTTAATTTCAATTCCATTAATGTCAGATCTTTCAATTAGGAAAATATTCTCTTTTCTTTTAATTTTTAATTAAATAAGGTAGGTAATTTTAGTTTTTATATTTTACCTTACCTTTTTTTTTCTTCAAATAATTAACGCTAACTTTTCTTTTAACTCATAAATAAATTAATTTCAATCTTTAAAAAATAGTTTTTTCATTTTCTGGTTTTAAAATTCCCCTTTAAAACACTGGTAGTGGCATAGAAAGATCTTACGTGCCGGTTTGTGCGGTTAAAGAAGGTGTTTGCAGCTTCAGCAGAAAGTGGTAAATGGTACTAATTTTGAGTCTCTAATAACCACTCCAAGAAGAGATGAAAGAAGATTTCGTTGAGATTGCCTCCGGTTTAGAAAATTGTTATTAACTGCTTCAGATCATTTTTCAGCATAATTTACCACGAAATTTTAAGAGGTGACAGAATTATTCACGTTACCAAAATATCAATTCTTACATAACATATCAATTTTGTCACACTGATAACAGCCGTTAATTTCTTCCATTAGCGCTTTTTCTTTATCGAATCGACACAGCTCTAATCTGTGCTTCGGAAATCTTATAGGCCGCCTCGATTTCTGGGGCTAGAGCTTCGCTGCTATTTGATGGTTCAGTTATGAGCAGCATTCTCTGCACATACATATCTCTAATTCTATATATGAACTTTTCGGTAACTAATTGTTCTCGTATTTCTGCTGCTGCCTCCGAATAGGCCAAAGTAACCAGACAGCGGATGTCGTTTTCAAATTCTTATAGGCTTTCTGCAGCTTCTTGTTGCCTTATTTTTAGTGGTACCTGTAAAGGTGCATTCGGTGACGATACCCATAAAGACGCTCCAACTCGTCAACAGGCGCCCCATAGTTTTGTTGGGAAGCTGGCGGAAGAGTCCCTACAAGGTCTAAGGCAGGGAAACGTAATGCTTTAATGAACCCTGTAGCCATGTCATCGGAGCTCCAACGATTAGCCATTGCAACAGTTTCGAATTGACGTCTGTACATGGCCCACAATGTCTGTCCGTCATATTATGGTGGTGACTTAACTTTGATACCAGGTGCAGGCGAGGCTGAGACATAACCTAACCTAAAGTCACATTCCAGTTTTTTAATCCACTTCTCATAACTATCCATTTCTTGGCGAACTTCCTGATGAACATTTCCAACTTCCGGAAGAACTGTTCCAACTTTCTGACGAACAGTTCCAACTTCCAGATGAACACTTTCAACTTTCTGATGAATACTCTCAACTTTTTCACGTATTACTTCCATTGCATTTATTATCTTGTACAGAATTTTATCCAGTTTGGATCTATTCTCATTCGAATTTAGAATTTTCCTGAAGCCGGTTCTTCATGTCTCCGGGCTTCTTTTTCTTGTTTCTCTCTCTGTGTTCGGTCTATTTCTTCTTGTTTTTCTTTCCTAAGAGTACCATGCTAATTTGACACGACAATAACAACGAAGCATTTCGCCTGTACTAAATTATGCTTTGGATTAGTCCAACTATTGGTTAACTAAAGGTTCGAGTAAATAAACCCTTGATTGTAAAAGGCTGTTTTCGTTTCAAGTAGGTAGTAGTTTTATTATGACTAGTAGTTAACTACATTTTGAGAAACTGGGCGTTATAAGATACATTTTTTTTGAGAGAACTACATTCAAAAAAATAAATTACTTCTAACGATTACTGCTTTAATATTAATTTCTTTCGTGCTTACCTTGGCAAATTTAGTAAAGAACTCCTTGGGAAGTCTGGTCCAGTCTCCCTCGGGAGTACAATGCAGGTCTATTGAGATGCCGTTCTCGTAAGCGTGGATTACTCTCTGGACTTCGATTTCCTGGAAAGCTTCGGCGAAATCGGAATAGGAAAACGTTCCGTCCTGAAAAAGAGGCCGATAAATAAATTATGTTGTCAGAAAATTTAAAGCAATCGAGCTTTTGATGTTTGTTTATTCATTTATTACAGTTACAATATTTTACTTGATTTCTGACTATATAAACTAGTATTTTAGTTGTTTTTGCGTCAACATTTAATTTAGAGCAGCATTTCTTCAGCCTCAAATAATTTTGTTTAGGCTGTAGAGCACGGTGGTAGATCAAAGGTATAAATATCGCGAATTTTTCGCGTTGTGCTAGAAAACATGTGAAATCCTAATAGCAAAATATCTAAAATGGAAACAACTTCAGGCTTTCTTTGTACTCAACTACATCCTCTTAACTGAAAATTAACGCACTCAACGAACATCCCAGTAACTCTTCAGCTAAAAGCTTTGTACAGTCTTAAATGAGCACTCCAGACTACTTCCAATCCAATGCCAAAGCGTTTTCACTATAAACTTTACTTTAAAACGGTAAACAAGGATTGTGAATTAATTAGAGCGCGGTTAAACGTTGATTACTTTTTGCTGAAAGTTGTTATTTATGTAGCAAAATGTTTTTGGAACTAAGTATGTTTTTTTTTTCCAGGCCTGGGTAATGTTTTTGATATGCATATATCTGAAGCTAATAGGTATTGATTGGATTCTCCAAGTATCGCAAACATACTGAATATATCGAACCCTGATAGGATTAGATCTAGGTCGCCGACTAGATTACACGGCAAAGTGTCTATTCCAGTTTCATTTGTATTTGTAATTTAGCCCGCTGCTGTCCATTTTCATCTAGCTAAGTGGATTATTTTAATCGCTAAACAACATTCAGAGTCTCGGATTTGGAAAAAGGGTAATTCTTTAATTTCAAATGTCACAAAAAGGAATAGGTATACAATTGCATAGAGTAACTGAAATATCGCAAGATCAGAAGAATTATATAAGGAGATCCTTGAAAATTGTTAAAGGTAAGGCTCTATTTTGTTTGATAAGAAAAAGTACTTTTACGTTCAAACGTTAATGAAATTGCAGAACAAAGTGAAATTAATTTGTTTGTAGAGGAAAAAAGTATATTCGAGCTTTCCACTATGATTGGTTTAAAAAAAAAACTAATTAAACCAGTAACCAGCGGCAATATTCCGTATTTTAGTTTGCAATAATCGTATTCAGAATCTTGCTTGGAGCTCACATAAATTGGGATATTCTAATTCCCCTGCAGAATCAGCTATATAGTTCCAACGAATGCGAGCTTTTCTGTTGACAGAGGCATTAACTTAATAATTTAGTGGGAATAGCAAAGTCTAGAGGATTATCATTTGCATTTAGACAAGTATCAATTTCGGTTTGAATGAGTTGAGAATGGAATTGTATAATCTAAGCCTAATGCTTTTAATAACTGAGAAACGTTTCGAACTATTTGATGAGTTTCGCGAACATTTTTGTGTTGTCAGTTGAGTCAAACAGCTTTTATTCTAATTTAAATTTTAATTTTTAGACCCTGTTTGAAAATTAATTAGCTAGGCAAGCAATTATGCTTCTCTTCAGGAGCCCTGTTACCAATTCATTTTTTAGATGTAAGAACCTGGTACCTCGCCTATTGCTGTTAAAGTGGTACTTTTCAGTGTCAATTGAAGACTAGCAATAACACAGTAAACGATAAGATAACCCTACGAAATATATGGAATGATCAAACAGAGAATGTCGAAAATAGTGGTTTTATCATAAGATCAGCTAGTTAAAATTTAAATGCAACTTTTTTAACTATCACTGAATTGTCTTGAAGTACTTAACCCTCTTACAAAGAATTATCTTATGTGTATGTGTTTAGTCCTACGATGACATTCTTGATTCTGGGGCAATCGAATGGCTGCTTCATTATTAACTTTTAAGTCTGGAACTGATTTAAGTGAATCAATTTCTTCGTAAAGTCGCTTCACCCAATGTATTTCTTTTCCAACTTCATTTGCGGCTACTATCTTCGCTTTAGTCGTAGAAAGGGCTACTGATGGTTGTCTTTGGCTCATCCAGGAAATTGCAGCACATGCATACATGCAAAAAACTCTTGAGTTGTTTCATCTGTACCATAGTCTGAGTCGCTAAATATTTTCAACTTTTTTTGTACACCGAACTTGTAGAAGAAAGCCACGTCTACCTTTGCACAATTAATATAAGTCGGGTTTTCGAATTTTCTGGACACAACACTTGCAGCGTATCTAGTGTGGTACAAATTATCAAATATACTAAATATTTAACAGTTTATATAGAAAAATAGTGTACGATTCTTCTCCACAATATTCCATCCCTAATTGAAGACTGTCTTTTACTATAGGTGTTGAAACTGGTTTACAATATTTCATACCAAAAAGTTCCGATAGTTTCTGGGTGTATGAAGATTGATTGAGGTTTATTTCACCATTTTCTGTCTTCTTGATTTGTAATCCAAGAAAATACGAGACACGTTTTGTAGTAATTATAAATTCCTTTTTCAAACTTGTTAGGAAAGAGTTTTTCACGTTGTCACATGTACATGCCAGTAAACCATCATCTACGTAGAGAGCTAATAGAACCATAATATGTCCTTTTTCCACTTATAAGCATGGAGCAGCATTACTTCGTTAAAAGCCTTGAAGCCAAGGGTTCCAATGTAGTCTGTAAAACGTTTGTTGCAACATCTTGGAGCTTGCTTCAACCCATACAAACTGAGTTGGTTGCAGAAAACATATATTAAACCCTTTCCATCTTCGTAGCCAACTCACAGCTTCATAAAAACCTTATCAAATTTGCCATAGAGACGTGTAGTATAAACATCGAATTGTGTGAGCGACATGTACTTATTCGCAACGACACTAAGTAGCGCTATAATTGTACCACCTTTTGCTACTGGACTATTATATTTGGTGATAGTCCTCACCTTAGCCCTTCTACCTTTGTACTTCTTTAGTAACTTTGTTACTACCCATTTGCGCTTTTATTTAAGTGATTGTATTTCTTGCTGCATTGCTTCTATCAATAGTTTTTTCGGTCTATATAAGTCACATATTCTTTGTAGTCAAGTGGTTCCTTCGGTTCAAATATTTCAGCAGCAATTGTCATTACGAAATCATCAAAATTTCCTGGAAGTCTCAAGTGAATTTCATCTCTCAACCTGGTCGTCTTTATTCGGTGTCTTCTTCCTCAAGATCGGGTTGGACAAGTGCTCCTCCAAGTTTCAACGTTCTCATTATTTAATGAGTGTTTTATTACATTTCCATTCATTGTTGCCTCTCATCAAGACAAGAAAATTTTCCAGTGGCGAAGCAGAACTAGAGGTTTGTGACTGTTCGACAATCAATAGCGCTGTTCGGGTTTGAAAAAAGGACGGTTCTAGAACGGCTCCAAACAATCGCACAGTTTATCAATCAACTAAAATGACAACGGGTCGGCTATCACAAATCTCAATAATAAACTGTGCGATTGTTTTTAACCGTTCTAGAACCGTCATTTTTTCAAACCCAAACAGGGCCTCTACCGTCGAAAACTCATGAAATATGATGTCACGTGATCTAATTATCCTCAATCATCATAATCAACTATAGCACTAGGGCTCCTTTTAGAACTTTCTTATCCATTTTCTTCTATCTCTGTTTGAGAACATATGCATACAACAGCAGAACTACCTATTACTTGCTATTACTCTTGTCTTAGTCTCCTTTTTGAGTTTGGGTTCGTCGTCAGGGCCGGCTTAAGGGGGGGGGCGAGATGGGCGGCACGATCCAGGGGCGGCAAATTCATACCATACAATAACAAAAAAAAATTATAGAAAATGAAACCAACGACTTAAAAAAAATTAAGAAACATAAATAGAACAGCGAACCAATTATACAGGGTGTTTACTACATCGATAGGAAGATTTAATGAATGATAATTGGGGTCATTTGAAGCTATTTGACCATATTTACCCTCATGCAAAGTTTCGCCGTTTTTTGAGATATCGCCATTTTAGATATTTTGAATCCATATACCTATTTTAACACATAACTTGGGCTACATATTTTTTGTGAACGACGAAAAAGAACGTTCGAAATATGTTTATAAAACGACCATAAGCATAAAGTTCTTAGAGAAAAGTTTTGGAAACTACTGTTTCTGTACGTGGTAATGTCCATGTCCGAGTTTTTTTGAGAAGGTAAAGAAAGGATGTTCTTTAGACGTTTGATTAATTTGTTTCTAAAACTTCTGTTAGGAACAATTGAAGAACGTCAGAATGTTTTCTATGAGTTCGTTAAAGTAGGTACCTATGTTTTCATGAAACGTCATGAGAGACGTTTTATAAAGGTTTCTGTTGGTCGTTTTCGGGAACACCATTTGAAACATATATCCCACGTCCACACACTCGGAAATTAGTTCCAATACTTCCAATAAGACGTTTTTAAAAGGTTGTTTGTAACTGTGATATTTGCACTACCTATAAAATAAGTCTATTGGATGGTGTTGGATACTTTGAAGGAAGTCCACTGAACGTTCATAGAGATCTTTGAAAAACGTCCTTTTTTGTTTTCAAGCGTTCGTATTAAGGCGTTTTTGAAACATCAGAATCCTACGAGAGAGAAACAGCGGCCTGCAAGATTCTGATGGCGAGATGCTGCACAAGTACCGCACTTATCGATGTGTAATCCCAGAAATTCACTCTGTTCACAACTACCGATGTTTGAGGAGTCAAGATGGATGTCAGACAGATTACACTTAAAAGCCATCACATTAGTCTTTGTCAGATTGAGTACAAGAAGAATTGCATCACACCACTGCTCAATACGGCAATGTCGACCCTGATTGTGGTGTCCAGGATATCAGCATTTGAGCCGTGCCACAGAACTATTGTGTCATTGGCAAACATGGTTAGAGTGCCAGATATACCCGTCTTAGGCAAATCGTTCACATAAAGTAGAAATAAGAGAGGTCCCAGCACGGACAGGTGACTCGATGTTATCACCCACAACAGTCTGCATTCTTCCCGCAAGGTAAGATGCCAGCCA